ACGGTCAACAATACCTCCAGCCGGAACAAACGGCAGATCGCAGCTTATCCGGGCATCGGCCGGCAGTGGCAGCAGATCTATAGGATTAATGCCACGCTGGCCATTGCTGTGACCGACAAGTTTTATTACCTGATCCGTATTGATCCGGTTAAAGATACCTGTACGCTCAGTGTGCTGGAAAATCGTTTTATCCCGCTGGAAGCCCGTTATATTTATGCAGATACCACCCATTGCTATTTTCTGAAAGATGGCTATGTCACCAGCATACCCCTGCATGCGATTGAACGGGCCGGCCGGGCGCCAACCCTGATCTTTACACAGCTAAGAAGGGACGGTATTTCAATGGATATAGATACCACGGCTCGTTTCCATTTTGGTAAAACAAGGGATCTCAGCATTACGTTCGACTATATTTCTTTTGGCCTTAAGGAGGTCAGTTGCCAATACTCCGTAACACAAGACGGAGATACGGATAGCTGGAATGATATTCAGGGCAATTCCATTAACCTGAGCTCACCGGGTTATGGTACTTATACGATTAAAATAAGGGCTAAAAACCAGGCAGGAACTTATTCGGCACCTGTTTCCTTAAAGGTGACCATAGAGCGCCCCTTCTGGCTAAGCTGGTGGTTTATACTGATAGCTGTCATTATTGGATTACTGTTAATATCGTTCATCGTCCGGAAGATTGTATTGGCCGTATTACAAAGGCGTAAGCGGGTTTATGACCTGGAATCGAAGTATTATTCCGCAGAGTATAAAACCCTGAACGCATTGATGAATCCACACTTCATCTTCAACAGCCTTAATAATATCAAAGGCTTGATAAGCCGTGATGATAAGCGGATGGCAACCCGCTTCCTGACCAGCTTTTCGGACGTGGTGCGGCAGAATATGCAGAACCTGTCGAAGGAAACCGTCAGTCTGCAGGAAGAGCTTTTGCTGGTCTCCAAATACCTGGATCTGGAGCAGCTCCGGTTTGGTGATATTATCAACTATAAGATAAACGTGGACAATGGTGTGGTGGTGGAGGACGTTTTCATCCCACCGCTATTGATACAGCCATTGGCGGAGAATGCGGTGAAACATGGGCTGCTGCCGGAGAAGTCAACCGAAGGCATGATCCGGGTGCATGTCTATGAGCTGGGGACTTCGTTATTTATAGAAGTGCAGGACAACGGTGTGGGCCTTCATAAAAGTGACTATAGTGAGCATGAAGGCTATGAATCGCTGGGCCTGGCCAATATAGAGAAAAGATTGCTCTACCTGCGCCAATCGGGGCGGCAGCAGATCTATTTTACGATCCGGGCCAATCCGGAAGGCAAGGGCACCATTGCCGCCATAGAGATACGTGAGTCTTAAAGAATAAACACCATCATAGAGCAGGGGCCATGTGCACCTAATACCAGCGACTGTTCAATATCCGCCGTTTTAGAAGGCCCGGCAATAAAGGTGCCAAATCCATAAGCCTGGCCGC